CATTTACTCATTCTAAGAATAGTAACAAGCAAGGCTATAGGAAAGTCATGGTGACCTAGTCTAAGAAGCCAGGAATGAGCTCCAAACACCCCCGAGCAATGGTTAAGAAAAACAAATTCCTTTACTGTTTCTCTTTCTTTAGACCATTAATTATGACTATTTTTGCCTGTGTTTAGCAAGATTTGTAGGTTCCTGTTTTTCTTTTGACACAGCTGCAAGGCCACGAGCTAAGCAAAGCCACAAGTTATGCGAAGTCAGCAGTTATGCTATACATTACTAAACCTGTCACTGTATGATTTACTGCCTTGGTTCTGCTTCTGTAGTTTAGCCTATATAAGCCAAGCTCTGTCTTTGTTCAGGGCTCAGCTTTTTGGATGCAAATCCACTGAGCCAGTGCACACCTTAATAAAGTCTTCCTGCTCCACCCATTGGTCTCTCTGATCCTCTGCTTTCCCACAACAATGGGAGTCTTCAAGTGGCCGGTGCCTTTTTGGCTCTTAACTGCCCAATCTGTGCCAGCAAAAGGCAGCTTTAAATCAAAGTGAAAGAGCTGAAGCAAAAAGGAAAGAAAATAAAAAGTCCCAGTTCTTTTGGGCTTACCTACTGGCTGGCTCACCAAAATATGTTACCAGATTGGAAGTTGGGAGTTCCAGGTTCTTGGTGCTGTGAACAAAGAATTGGATGAGACTCACAAATAACCACTCCACAAAATTTATTAAGCAAAGAATGTTCCAGAGAGAGGAACGGGCTGATTTTCAAGTGGTATCAGCCCTGGATTAAAATAGCCTTTGTTCTTTTATGCCCACTTCCTACTCTTCCTTAACTCTAGGGAGGGGATTTCCTATAATTGTCATATCCGTTTTCTTGTTGTTTTTCTCTCTTAGTGCGCCTGCGTGAGTTTGCCATGATTTTAAGTGTATGTACGATATGCATTCCATATGTATGAGCTGGTCAGTCTTCTGACTTCCTTCCCTATTCTGCTGCCTCAGAAGGCCTATTTGGGAGAAAAGTAAACAGTAAAGAATGAAACTCCCTCTGATCGTCTGGGAAATTTTCAGGGGAGAAATGGAATTCTAGGATTTTACTATGTGTTTTCCATCTGGGAGTGGACTATAACAGTTTATTTCAATTTAATTCCACTCACTCACAAATGTTTTGCTGAGTAAAATAGTCTCCGACTCAAGGAATTCACAGTTGGTGGCGGCAGGGAGAGACAGATCAACAAATGATTGTATTTTGATGGATGAATTCCATGGATCTACACAGCGCCTCAGGGAGATACTATTGTGGGACAATTAATTGCATTGGGTGGTTGTCAGGAAAAGTTGCAGAGACAACGTGTTATCTGCGTTTGGGGATTACGTGGTAAGCAGGCGTTCACCTTGCAAGTGAAGACTACTCCGCTGCAGGGTCCGGTACTGGGGCGGCGTTTTCGCCGCATACGCAGTAGGTGATCCAAACCTCCCGCCGACAGGAGGAAGAGGATGCCAGCTCAGGCACTAGCTGAGGTTTGGCATTTGACGGCCGCGGGCGCCGACCTCCAGGGGGCGCCGTGGCCTCGCGCTGTCCGGGCCGTTGCATTTCCGGGCACTGGGGCGCAGCCATCTCCAAGCGCGTCCCCGCCGCGAGCCGCGCACCGTCCGCCGCTCCCGTTACCGGGGCAACCGCGGCGCCTCCTCCGTGTCGGCCCGGATCGTCCCTCCGCGCCATTTTCA